TTATTCAAGAAAATATCGTTATTAAATCGTAATTAATAAGTATTTTATTTAGAAAAAATGTTGTTATAGAAATAATATAATTTTAGAAGTAATTTTATAGTATTGTTAATTTAATATTAAGCCAACTAAAATTGATTTTGTTTTTCTTATATTTCTGTAGAATGGTCAGCAGTAGAATGGTCAGTTGTAGAAGCTCAACAAGGCGGTGGACCCTTGGGGCAATTAGGTGAAATTATAAATAGATCCTGCGTCAGATTCACGAAAAGAATAAATTGCTATGAAAAATGCTGGAACAGTGGATTCCTTTGGGGTTACTGCTATGGTCCCTTCACCGGAGGATGCAGATGTTTTGGAAACAGACCTACCACTCCAAACTGATAAAATTCATTAAAAACATCTCATTATTTATTTGTCATATAAAATATAGTTAATCTCTTTTTAACAATTAACACTATATTAAATTGTTTCTTACAAAAATGTCTACATTTTTTTAATTTATTAAAACGGAAAATGTTATCCGTAATTTGCATTATAATAAGACATAAAATTCATAAAAACAAATTAATTCCAATTGTGTGTAACATGTGTTTTGCATAAATTATTCGTTTTAATATAGTAAAATAAAGTTACATTTTTATATTTTATGTTTATTTTAATGTATCACTTTGTTTTCTAAAATTAATATGAACAGCTGATATTTCGTACAATCAATCAATTAAATGAATATCATCCTAAAGGAATAATGCAGAAATTACGAGGATTAATTAATAAATAAGATCTTCATTTTTATAAAATTAATTTGGCTATGTTTTAAAAAATAATAAAAAAATCATTTATTTTGATTACACATATTCATTTTTTAATATTCACTATTCAGAATGGCATTTTTGTAATCGTTTAATCTATTTTTGCATTCCACGCATGAAAAGCTTCCTGGTTTTTCCTTAATCTATTCCCACATCACCTTGAATATTGGCATTTGATGAAAAGACGTTGACCTTTTATTATTTCCTTTAATTTTAAGAACAATTAGAAGTCTGATGGTGCCGGGTCTAGAGTATTAGGAGAGTATGGAATAACCTGTTATTTCAGTTCTTAGCTGTTTCCTTATTGCAGTGCATTCTTGCAGTTTCACGATTCGAGAAAAAAATACTGTTATCATTTCTAGTTTTATTCTATAGACAAATATATTTCTTGAATAAGGTCTCATAATACGCTTTTCATAAGCTGTTGCAGTTCAAGCTACTTTCTTTTCACAAACTGATTTTATAAAAACGAAAACTTTATTTATCAATTAACCTCATATTTATAGCTTTGGCACGGTTACGCTTGCAAAATTATTAAGAATCTATTAAAAATTTGTCTAACCTCTTTCTGTGAAACGTGATAATGTATATTCTAAAATGTTTGCAGTAGATTCGTATCTCATTATGGATTTCACTCGTTCACTGAACTATTCAATGTCCATATATCAAATATAAATAATATATATACTATCTTAAAATAAATGAAATCATCGATTCTATAATGATAATCACTTAGAAAAATAATTGAAAATTACAAACGAAATAAATAAACTTTTGAATAGAAAATTTTTTATGAAATATGGACGATAAGTTTTACAATTAGACAATTAGAGATCGCTTGTTTAACTTTTATCGTGATTTTAACATAGGACTGTTAAATAACGACTTTCTGATACTATTGTGAGTCTAAGAATCAAATATATTGAATAATTTTGACTGTCTTTGGCTAATTAAAAACTTCACTAATCAAGAATAACTGACATAATTTAACGCACTAATGTTTAATTTTATTTACATTTACTTGTTTTTCGATCCTTTTTGATTAAAATTTAAATGAAACCAGAGTAAACATCTAATTTAGTTATCCTATTTTTTGCGCCAAGAATATTTCGAAGCAGCAGGTTAAGAGTAAAACTAGATACGTTATTTTCGATTTGTATTATATAAAATTCGAATTAATAAATATCAACTAATTATGAAATACATTTTTATCTATACTAATATAATAAAGAGGTAATGTTTGTATGTATGTTAGTTTGGATGTAGCGGGTAATCTCCAAAACTACTCATCCGATTTCAAAAATTTTTTCACCAATATTTAGAATGGAACTTCAGGATGGACATAGGCTGTATATTATTCCGTTAAACATGGGGGATGNAAACATAAATATTCTTAACTTTAACGCTTCTATTTTTAACGACAGGATAAAGTATATAGTGATTTAGGAAGAGGAGTATTAAAAAATGCATGGGATGGATACAATACTGCTCTATTTGCTTATGGCCAAACTGGTTCTGGAAAATCTTGGTCTGTTATTGGTTATGGAACAAACACCGGTAATTATTTATTTACAAACACGAGCTTTTATATTATTTATAAATAAATATAAATTTTTAAATGCAATAAATTCATATTCTTTCTAGGTATTGTTCCGAGATTTTGTGAAGAGATGTTTCAAGGAATCGAATCAAAAAAGAATTCTGAAGAAAAAATTGAATTTGAAGTGTGTGTTTCAAATATTACAAGCTTGCTTTTTGATTCAAACATTTTGTAGACAAGCAGTGACAAGAAATAAATTATATGTTTTCAGGTGAGATTCAGCATGTTAGAAATATATAATGAAATTGTAAGAGATTTGCTGAATCCATCTGCGAGTAGGCAGAAAGGGTTGAAAGTAAGAGAACATCCCAAAAAAGGGTTTTACGGTAAGAATAAAAAATAAAAATATTTGAACTGTAAAAAAATATAGAAATTTTTATTATTTTTTAAAATTCTCTACAGCGGAAGGATTGACGTCATCATTGGTCGCAAATTACGAAAGCATTCAATCAAAAATCGATACTGGAACTACGAATCGTTCCATTGCATCCACCAATATGAATGTTACTAGCAGGTAATATAATATAAGCACGAAACCTCTCTACTATATACTTATACGTGTGCCGGGCTGTGAACGGCTCACGTATTTGTAAGATCTAAGTGACTCGTACAACATGGAATTCATATAAAACGGAATAATCAACAGTGTTATAGGGGGTCGACTGTAATACAGTGTGTATGTAGTGTGATATAATATAATTTTAGTGAAAAGATTATGGCTTCCGATTTACGAAGATAATTGAATCATGGTGATTTAATTAATTCCCTTTGATTTTAATTATAGTAAGACCCCGCTCAACGCGGAGGACACGACAAGGACGTTCCTAGGACGTTTCTAGACGACAAAGCGCTAAACGAAACAGCGTTAAACGAGGTCATTTTAACATAGAGTAAATAGGGATAGGGGGATACGCAACCAAAAATAAACAAATTTTACTTTAATTTTAAGTTATTTTTATATTAATTTGCATAATAATATATGTTAAATAACACAAACGTATGCACACAGAAGTATAGAGTTCGTTATTTGTGATGAAGGTTTTGGCTCTTCTGAAATTCTTGTTTTTTTACGATAAAGTTGTGTAGTTTCATTTTGTAGTTTTCGCGTTTTTTCTTTCCTTAAGCAAATGTCCGTAGCAGAAGATCTCATCCAAAACGCCTCGTTTTGCTTTCGCACTCCTTTCAAAATCTGGATCATTCGCTACAATTTGATCAACGATTTCAATTTTCGTTATCAAACTTTTACTAAAGAAATCTGTAGCAAGTTCTTTGGGTTCTTCGTTTTCAGAATCACTATTTTCCAGTTTTACATAAATTTCTTGTTCTACCAGTTCTTGAAAGTTGTCGTTGGTAAGGCTCTCAGCAGAAGCCTGCAGTAACTCCTCTTCGAAGTCCTATTGTATCGTTAGGTCTACCTAACGATACAGCGATAGGCTCTTCTCATTGAGAATTCTTGGATACCTTCAGCCATAACTTCTTCCACACTTCATTCGTGCATTTATCAGTTAATTCTTGCCAAGAGAAGTCGATATTGCCTATGGCATCCATGATGTTATATTTTTTCCAAAATTGCACCAAACAAACATAAATTTAGAGGAAGTACAGAGCTACGACGAATTGCCACCTTTTGCTGATTAGTTCGTATTTGTAAATAATCGTATTATATACGGATCAATGAAATGCCGCGAACATTTAAATCAGTGTAAATTTTGAGCCTGTTTTTAAGGCTTCGAGAAGACCGCGTTATATCGAATCAGCGTTAATCGAGGCAGCGTTAAGCGGAATCTTACTGTATTTTAATTTTATAAAGAATATATTTCAACTTTTTGGGCTGCTATTTGAAAAAATTGTTGACCTATAAATTCCCAATGTCGTCCATCCGTCTGTCTGTCTCCCTTTCCTTAATCTCGAGAACAGAATTACAAAGATGAAACCGTAGGGACAGGAGATCCCGAATAACTATATTCGAATGTCCGATACAAACTGGAAGTCATGTTATTTCAATTCAAAAATTTTTTCCTGAAAGGAGTTAGATAGATGACCGGCGTGACTCTATTCTAACAGGAAAAGTATGATGTAGAGGGGCAAGACAGTACTAATTTCAGGTGGAGAGCAACATATTTTAAATTAGATAAATTAAAAATATGATTAAAAATTGCAGCACGATATATTTGCTCGTTTCTTTTCTATTTTCTTAATCAAAGTGTATAGTCTGTGTGAAGTCTTTCAATTATTTAGACAGACAATAGACAATTTTTCATTGTAACGAATGAAAACTTAATTAAACATTAAACAAGTTTTTAATAAATATATTTTCATCTTAATGATAAACGATTGTGAAGATTTGTAAATTTATTCTATACAATAATAAAATTATAACAAAATTAGTCTACGTTTAGATTTAAATAAGCGTGTATTGAATTGATGTTCTATAACACGAATGGTTGTCTCTCTGTTATTTATAATTTTTTTAAACTCTCATAAATAGTAAACGCGTCTCCAGGGTGATTAAACAACTGCACAAATGAAACAAATGTTTAGGCATTTGCCCTCGCAAGGTAGTTATTTTGTGGCTTGTGTCAAGGGCAGAAATCATGCCACCCGATGTGGAAAATGTTAAAGTGGCCGTAAGAGTAAGACCTTTCATATCCTTTTTTTAATTATACTTTTTCCCCAAGAAAAACTATAAAATTAAATTATAAAAACAATTTTAAGTTTGTCAATTGTTTTTAATGTTAAAATTTTTGGAAATTTCCAAATAAGAACAGAAGTTTCCGTATTTTAAAAAGTTTTAACTTATTTTAAGTATTTTAAGTTTAAATTTCATTTAAATTAATTAATATTTTAAATTAAAATGGTTTTTACATCGATTTTGAGCAAATAAACAATTAAATCTGAGATATTATTGCTATTATTTTGATGAATGATGAGCATTCAATTCTATAATGAAGCGTAAAGTTTACTTTAGAGAATTATATTTATGTTAATCAGTGCTTCTTGCTTATAACATCAGAAACTCATTCTTTAATCAGATGATAACAGAAAATTGTTACTACTGTATCATTGGTTATAAAGTACAGTACATACTGCTACATGCAGTCATAAACTAAATAATCTATAGCTTAGGATCCCATGTTATGTAACTAAAACTTATGACTGGAATTTTAAATTTATTATTATTTAGTGTAGGGACTTTTATGGCCCTAAACTAGAATAACTAACAATAAGTTATAGTTTAGTGCCTTAAGTCTAAATTCGGTCCTAATTACAAGTTATTCGAAAATTCTTACTTCAATTGAAAATATAAAGCAGTTATGTTTAATTCGATTATGTTTTCTTATTTTTCTTCTTAATTGTTAATATTAATTTATAATTTTGTATTATTTAAATTGTTTCTTCATTATCAATTTATGTCTCACATTTGATTTTCTATTTAATTATTTTTCAATATAAATACATAAATTTTACTTGTTTAGGACATATCAATATGGCGTTGTTTATTATTTACACAAATTAAAACTCTTGTAATGCATATATTTTTGTTCAAGATAAATATTAGAGGGAATCCAGCAATGGAATTTCGTAGGGTTTATCGATTGTTATGTAAGGTAATAATGCTTAATAAGTTAGATAAATATAACTTAATGGAGAATAAGTCAGTTAAAAATATATTATAAAATAAATTTTTCTTCTAACTTTTTATTATAAAAACTAAAAAAAGATGGACTGCAAGCAAACAAAATAATATTTTATCATCTTGGTAAGTATAAAGGGTAGTAATATAAAATCAATAGAAATTTTGTAATAAATTATATTTTCATTTTATCTCAATAATTTACATTATTTTCTACTAACCTTATTTTTAAAACTAGGTCTGTTATTAATTTATGTAGCGTGCAAAGGAACTTTGTCAAATTGAAGTGTTCTTTAATCGAAATTGAAGTTTTATCGATTGTTATACTTTTTAATCATATAGTTATACTAATTTACACTAGAAGATTCTTCCATATATTTTCGTTTCATAATTAAAACTTTTGTAAAAAAAAAACTCATTTATATTCAAATGGCATTAAATATTAATGGCAAAATTAATTAAATATACATATACTTGTACATATAACAAGTATCTAAAGTATAGTAAATATATTTCTTATTAAGAATATAGGTCTAAGTCATACATTTCTATTCATTAACATTTAGAAACGAAACTTATTATCTTATATTGAAAAATTTAGAAATTTTGACGTTCATTTTTAATGAACAAGTTTTCATTAAAACAAGAAATATTTATTCTATAAATAATACAACTTTTTCCCACTATTTTGAATTTTAATTGTCAATCGTTATAGCTTTTTTTCATTAATTAAATGCAATGTATGTAATAGATATAATGATTATTCAAAATGCCAAAAACAATTAAATTTAAAGGCTGAATTTTAGTTTATTTGACTAATTTATTTAAGAGTTAATTTATCACTGCAAATTAATCAATAAATAAGAATTATATTACTTTTAAACTTTGATATTATGAATAAACCGGCGTCTTGTAGCCAGAAAACTGTTCTAATTCATCCTAAATGATTAAAGATGTGAATAATATTTAAAAAGACTCATGATGAAAATTAATTGTAAGATAATTTAACCTAATTTGATTCAGTTTATATCTTTAAAACTTACTGATATTTAAACGCAAACATTATAATTACAATGGATAAAAAGTAATTATTATTATGTATTCTCTGAAACCTTAAGCTGTTCGTGTAGTTCCCCCCCACGGACTTTTATCACGTATTTCATGTCTTCTATAGAACAACTACGTATTTTACTTGAACAAATTTTTCTTTGTGTGTATGTGAAGACAGCCTCCACACAGGAAAAAAAAAGATGAAGGATCTACAAAATAATGTATTTGGCTTAGATAATACTGTAACTAGAATATATTATATTTAGAAAATTTTAATCATATCGCAAATATACTATTAAAAATTCGTTAATGTTTAAAATTATTGATTAATTACTTACTAACATAGTAAATATAAACAGGAAAACTGTAAGTAACCTGGAATTGAACCGTACTGAATACTTTTTCCATTTATACACGTTTTTTTGTATTTTGTTTGAAAAACTTGATTTTCAATTTAAATAATAATAATTTATTTTTTCTACATTCGATGCTAAATAAACTTTCTTTCAGTTTTTAGTACAGATAATTTAATAACAGTTATTTAACATTAGTTTTACAGTTTCTACAGATTAAAAAAATCTCGTTACAATCGAGATCACAGATACAGTAACTTGGCAGAGCACCACTTAGAAACCCGAATCAAAGTTTTGTAAATAAGAATTCTATAGGAAGAGGCCAGAAAAACATTTGTTTTTTCTTCCAAATAAAAATTTTATGAAGTAAAGATATTTTTATAAGAACGAAGTAGTTGTAATGAAGTGTTTTAGGATAAATTATGGTTTCTGCTTGTTTTTTATATATGTTTTATTCACTCTACATGTAGATCTCTCATGTAGATCATGTAGATTTACATGTAGATCACTCTACATTTTATACATGTATTATTCACTCTAGTGAAGATAGATGAAGAAATTTAAAAATCCTGTTTAAGGAATCAAAACTGTTTAAGGAACATAGTTTTGGTGAATCAATTAGTTGATTAGTTGATCTAACTCGTATATGTATTTGCTTCTGTTGGAAAAAAAAATTGTAGGTGCCCTTGCTTATAACCGTTTAAATTATAGTTTAATGTTTTTTATAGGAATTAATGAAAAATAATATTAATTATTCGGGTATTATTCTTGATTTTTTACTAAATTCATTAATCTTCTGAAAGTCATAATCATAATTTCAAGAGCAACTTTGGTTTAATTCAGTAATTTAATGTTAAATTAATTCTACGGACACTATACTGTACAGGGGTTGGACAAAATAACGGGAACACCAGTGAAATCAAGTTAAATGTTTATTAATATGAGATAAAGAAAGAACCCCCTTTCGCTCGTTGTACAGCGTTTTCCGATGTAGAATAGACAATAAAGATTGTGGATAGTGTGCAGAGAAATGTGCCCCAATTCTTCATGAATAATGGACGTTCCAAAAGTGCCTGTGAAGGATAAAACTTGATGTTCACCTTGGCTTCCAAGATTTCCCACAAAGGTTCGATGACGATGAGATCAAGTAATTGTGGAGGCTAAGGAAAGTATTGAACTTCATTCTGATGTTGCCAAATCATATTTAGCAGTGTGGATTAGCGTGTTATTGTTTTGGAACACTGCCTCTTCTATCCAAAATTTAAAGTTGATCGTTCAAACTTTAAGCATAATGTTGCGCCACGAGCTTTTCTTTGAGTGTCACAATAAGTCCCAGCGAATTCCAAGCTATTGCTACACATGACTACTTTTACACGTGCTCACATTGCTTTGTCCAACTCTCGTATATACAAATTTTTCAGTTTATATTGCTTTAATTTCGTTGTTTAAGCTTTTATAATGTGGTATATATATTTTGTTGCAATAATATCGTATCAGACAATTTTATTTATAATCACATTGATTATTAAAAAGGTCTGTTAAATTCATGAAACACGTAAGATGACATTAATTTAATTCAGTTATACATTTGCCTTTTGTACTGTATACTGTATTTCATAGTTGAATTTATATACATTTTTCTAGAGTGCATAGAAATTAGATGAAATTATCATTAAATAAATAGATAAATATTAATTCAATGATTAGAATTATTTTACATATTTAGTAATAATATTTTTATAATTAGAAATGTGATTCTAACTTATAAAATATAAAATAATTGATAATAAAAATTATCATTCTTGCTGTTAAAAAACATCTAAACATGTTTCTGTATTTTCAATAATTAAAATTAAACTAATAATAATAATAATATTTATGAGCCTACTTATGTTAAAGGTACGTTTTCCATTCCATGTGTGTTCAATGAATATTGAATTCTTCGTTTTAGGAAGATTTGAGTATTCAAACATCAATATGTTTCTTTGTATTCAATGAAGTTTCTCGCATCATATTCAGTGTAAAATTAACTTAAATGATTAGCTTATTTCAATTAGCTTCTTGTGTTTAATAAATAATGATTCATTGAACATAAGAAAACTTGACACACACATATATATATACATATATATATATATACTGTAATTATAATTTGTGTAAATGTTCACAAACCAAATATGATTGGTATGAGCGCTTAAATTTTAAAATTTTAATTTTTCTATACGCTTGGTAATTAAATTAATTCATTAATTAAGCTTCAGTGAGCAAATTACTTGATTTACTTTACTATATTCAGCTAGATAGTCTTAGTTATGATTCTATAATTTTTTTTTTACTAATATTGACTTTCACATAAGAAAGTAACCAATGAATATTAGTTACAATTGGGAAAAAAATTGAGAATTAAATTCTGTAACTAATTGTAACTTTCTGATAATTCTATGAAAAAATACAGATTATTATAAGTTAGAATATTATATAATAATCAAATTTATAATCTGTGTTTTTTATTTAATATATTACGTGAATATTACATTGAAAAAGATCTATTTAATTTAAATAAATTATTTATGTAAAATAAACAATTTTTAAAATATGACATTTTTACATTGAATATTTGAATTTGTTACTATATTTTATCAAAGGTATAAATTGGTTATATACTGTATAATCAATCCAAATATATGAGTTCGCATTATATACCGATACAAGTATAATTCAATTGAATATATAAATTTGTATTTGTGTTATTTGTAGAAAAAATTCATAACTTTCTATACAGTATTTAAAAATTAAGTTGAAATTAAATTCAAAACTTTGATAAAATTTTTCAGATTTTTAATTTTCCACAAGACAGAGCTTATATTCTTATTACTTGATGATAAACGGGTCGAATATAAATATATAGACTATATAAATATACTAAGCGCTGACGGTATCCAAAGCAGGCACTGAATATACAATACTACTCCAATATACTACTGTACGAGATATATAAATATAATCCTTCTCCTTGTTTATCTTACAGAAAAACTTATATAATGATGATAACAATGAATAGTATGCCATCAACATTCATTTATGAAATTTAATTATATCGCAAGATTTTAGTTTAACAGTTGTTGATAATGTGATTTTTATTATGATCGTTTTATTAATTATAATGTCGATCAAAATGTATGTTATTGATATGGAAACGGATTCATGTGGAACGAACAGATGTTATCAAATCAACACGATAACGTTTACAGTTGCTATGTTTGTCCTTATTTCAGTATTGTTTCCAAGACTAGTCACGTTTTAAAAAAACTATTATCACTTCTCACTTCTATTGTTTCATTGGAATCGTTCTCTTCGTGACAATTTCAAAATATCTTCACGCATATCAGACACTATCAGAACTTTAATTAGGCCAATTTTAAAATATCAATGCTTATATAAGTATTTATATATATTCTGATGGTACGAAAATGAGATAATGAGATATTTCCCAAAAAAATCCAGCAACGAGTTGCTTAACTTTCCCAGAAACACTTGGTGGCGCCATCTGTTATGAAATTTTATTATTAAAAACTTTCTATATTTTTAACTATTATAAAATGACAAAAAGCTTAATTTTGAAAGAAGGAATGAGTTTTATAGAAAATTGTAAATGCTAATAACGAGTAAAATCGTCATTAAGTCTGACCCTACTCGAGATACACACGACCCCTTTATCTCTCCACTCCTTCGATCATTAATCACCAAAATTTAATAGCATCAATTCCCTTAATAAACAAACCTCCCTGCAAACTTTCAGAAATTTTCGACAAAAAGCACAGGAGTTATTAAGCTTCAAACAGGGTAACAAAATTGTGCCCCCACACACTAACATCCATACACACAGAAAAAAACCCGAATTTTTTGGCATTTCTCAACATTTCAAGATCCTCTGAGTCCAAAAAGATAAAAATTTTGCGGTCATTTTTTGACAGATTGCCCTACTTTCTCTCTGTTATATATAGTCTAACAGACAGGAAAGTAAAAAGAGATTTTATATCATTTTACTTATTGATTATCTGTATACAGTATACATAATATGATATAATATCTTCCTTTCTATTTCCTATATAGTTCTAAACACTTTGATTAATCTGAACCGAATTTTTCTGAATTAATCTCCAGGATCCTGCGAAAAATATAGGCTATTAACCTGAACATCCCATTCCTTTACCTGATTTCATCCCCTTGAAATTTTGTTATAATTTAAGTTTATTGCATTATTATATAAGTAAGCATTGTATAATAATTAATGATGGCACCACACAGTCCCTGATCCATATTCTTAGTAATGATTTCAAAGAATATAGGGTCTTCTACATTTGAAAGCTCCACCCGGAATAACGTTGTTGATTTGAGTTGGCTTTAAAAACCCAAACGTTTAATATGGTTTTAATTTTAATATTAGTCCTAATATCCGGCGTTTCTTATACTAGAGATATATGAAAAATAATCATTTTTATTATAGATCTTATGTTAATTGTGTTATAGAAACTATCATTTTAAACATACCGATATTAGTTCCTTAACAAGGTTACAATAGTCGAGAGAAACAGCGAAGAGCAAAAACAATTATTGCTATTGAAGGAAACACAACATTTTTAAGTAATCCCGATACACCTAATGAAAAACCTAAAAACTTCACATACGATTTTAGCTATTGGTCACACGATGGATTTAAGGAATTAAAGAATGGCTATCTAACACCCGATCTGGATCATCCGAATGGACATAAATTTAGTGATCAAGTAAGTCGCAATGATTCATTAATTGATAAAACATAAATATTCTTAACTTTAACGCTTCTATTTTTAACGACAGGATAAAGTATATAGTGATTTAGGAAGAGGAGTATTAAAAAATGCATGGGATGGATACAATACTGCTCTATTTGCTTATGGCCAAACTGGTTCTGGAAAATCTTGGTCTGTTATTGGTTATGGAACAAACACCGGTAATTATTTATTTACAAACACGAGCTTTTATATTATTTATAAATAAATATAAATTTTTAAATGCAATAAATTCATATTCTTTCTAGGTATTGTTCCGAGATTTTGTGAAGAGATGTTTCAAGGAATCGAATCAAAAAAGAATTCTGAAGAAAAAATTGAATTTGAAGTGTGTGTTTCAAATATTACAAGCTTGCTTTTTGATTCAAACATTTTGTAGACAAGCAGTGACAAGAAATAAATTATATGTTTTCAGGTGAGATTCAGCATGTTAGAAATATATAATGAAATTGTAAGAGATTTGCTGAATCCATCTGCGAGTAGGCAGAAAGGGTTGAAAGTAAGAGAACATCCCAAAAAAGGGTTTTACGGTAAGAATAAAAAATAAAAATATTTGAACTGTAAAAAAATATAGAAATTTTTATTATTTTTTAAAATTCTCTACAGCGGAAGGATTGACGTCATCATTGGTCGCAAATTACGAAAGCATTCAATCAAAAATCGATACTGGAACTACGAATCGTTCCATTGCATCCACCAATATGAATGTTACTAGCAGGTAATATAATATAAGCACGAAACCTCTCTACTATATACTTTATATAAATTCTCTACTATATACTACATAAACTTATCTACTATAATAGTAGATAATTCAAAATTCGTTGTCTGAAATGATAATTTTTGACGATAAAAACTTTTAGAATGTCGGCCAATGAATAACAATTAATTAATTATCTCAATTAATATTTTATGATCGAGTTGTTCCTAAAGTAAGGATCTCCCAAGTGTTCGAATGGATAAACCATTAATTAGTGGTATTGAGTTCGCGCCTGACTGCTTGAAGTTTTCTGGATTTTCTTCACGTGTCTAACTTCTAAATAGGGGACAATTTCTCATAGAAAGTTCTTCCGGGAAACATCTTGAGAGGACTCGGATCGAATTTGATCCGAATCTGATTTCCATTTTTCCATTTTCCATTTCCGATAGAGGAGTGTTATTGCTATTCGCTTATCACTCCAGAAAAAACAGTGAGGAAGAGTCAGTCTTATAGAAGACGACCATCCGAATCTGATATCACGAGTAGTATAGGCCATTGCATAGTTCACCATGTTGTGAACCAGGCCCGCCGAAGGGCATAATTGTGGATGTGGTTTTAATGTACTGGCGCTTCGTATTAAGTAAACAAACCTCGGCAAATTTACTTCATACTCTATTGAAAAACTTTACTCGCGGACATTTACTTCATAGTCTATTGAAAAAACTATAAAACTTAATGTATTCTGGATTCGTTTCTCTTTTGGCTTTAATAATTTTTTAGTATTTAATAATATAATGAGAAGAGTGATTTATAAATTTTAATAATAATAATAAATTTTCAAAACATTTAATTATTCAGTTAAGTCATAAATTTAAGTTTTGAATAAGAATAAACAATGTAAGTGAATACATTGCAGTCGAGCTCATACGATAGTCGGTATAACTTTAATACAAAAATCAAGAAAGGCTGGAGGACAAGAAACATCGAAAATATCATGTGTTAATTTGGTAGATTTAGCCGGAAGGTATGTTTAATTTTATTAATATATCTTGAAATTTAGTTTGTTTTACATATTTATGATTAATGATTATTTTATTTTTTTTTTTAATTTTTAGTGAGAGAGTTTCTAGCACGGGTGCTAAAGGAGATCGTTTAAAAGAAGGAGCAGCCATTAACCAATCTTTATCATGTTTAGGAAATTGTATTCATGCCTTAGCTGAAAAAGCAAAAGGCACAAAGTCTGTTAGAGGTAAAATACATTCAAAAATTAGAATTATGGTAATACCAAATAAAAGTAAATAAGTAAATAAATAAATAAATACAAATATTCCAATCATTTCAGTGCCATATAGGGAATCGATGTTAACACGACTTTTAATGAATGCACTTGGAGGAAACAGTAAAACAATTATGGTATTTATATTTTATATTAATAATGATGATAATTTTTATATTATATAAATAAGGATATAAATATTCTTTATTATTTAGATAGCTGCTATTAGTCCAGCAGATATAAATTATGATGAGACTCTTTCAACACTTAGATATGGTATGCATCAATAAATTTTGTTTTTTAAAAAATATATGATAAACTACATATTGTTTTAAATAAATGATAATGATATGATAATCAATATATGATAAATCATATATTTTTCGGTCTAATACTGTGGTTCTTAACCTGTGGTCCATGGACCACTGGTGGTCCCTGAAAGCACCTGAAGTGGTCCGCGAAGTTATCCCAAAATTATTAAATAAATGACGACGAGTTGATGACAATGCGCGGTATGTCAAGGTTAGAGCCGATAGCGGACTGGGCTGGGATATGGTGTGTGGTCAGGAAGTATGAAATTGGAAGGCACTAGCAATAAATTTTCATTTGAAGATAAAATCAGTGCGTTTATCGCTAAAATCGACCTATCGGAAGAGAGAATTTTTCTGCGTTTGATATATTGAACCCAATTATTGACTGACAGTGTGCCGAGATTAAAGGACAAATACAAAAGAACATTACATTCCATTTGCAAAGCTTGAAAAATGAATTTAATCATTATTTCCTGACTGCAAGGACAAAGGTATTCAGAAACTGATTTGCAATCCTTTCATAGTCAACATTTCTGAGGTGCCGGATGAAATACAAGAAGAGTTAATTGAAATGCAACATGATAGTAACTGCAAGGATACATTCGAGACAGGAATTAACCTTAAAGATTTTTGGAGCCAAAAAGCTATTGCTTTCCCTAAAATTCGAGAAATTGCTTTACAGTACCTAACTTTATTTTCAACCACATATTTATGCGAGCAAGGATTCTCAGTGCTTTTGATAATTAAAAATAAACATCGAAATCGGTTGGATGCCAGTGCCGACATGCATTTGCTTTGAGTAGCACTGAACCAAGAATTCAGCAGTTGGTAAACAGTATGCAGTCACAAAAATCGCACTAAAATAATATAATTAATGTAACACTTTCGCAAATAATATAATACTCTTGGTTCCGAATAATTTTCTACGTGTTTAATTTATAGAACAACCTTATAAGAACTGCCAAACAGCTCGTGGTCCATGGCAAGACAATAAGTTTGATAAATGGTTCCTCATCACTAAAAGGTTAAGAACCACTGGTCTAATAAATTCAAACTAATTACTTCTAATAATGTTAATCTATAAAATAATTTAAAATATTCACAATTGGAACCTTAGCGGAGGAGCCTAGATAAATGAAGGATAAATCGATATTAATGTAATGAATACTATATTTCATTCGATGCTCTATATAACTGTATATAAAATGATGATGGATTTGTTTCTAATACTCTTATTTAATAACTAGTAAGTTTTTATTATTTTTTTCCCCACCCTCTGGTTCCGGAAACCCCAGAGCGCTAAACTGATACTTTTAACCGCGGCTATCCGGCTGACCAATTAGAAAGAAATATCATTAGAAGTAATAAAATAATTAATTAATTGCACAACAATGAAAATTAATCTGTACAGTAAACAATTCATTTCTTCACTTTTCAGTTTGTGAATGATTTATTATTAATAATCAAATTCAGTCAGTGTCATCAGCTCATTTTAAATCTAACTTACTATTAAAATATATAAAAGTTAAATCTATCAATGTATCAAATATTATAAAATTATGAAAATAAAGTATTCGTTGTTTTATTAATAAGAAAACATTCTGTAGTCGCTTCAATGCTATTGGGCTGCAATTTGAAAAAATTATAGACTTATAAATTCCCACTGTCTTCTGTCTGCTGTCTGTTGTCAGTCTGTCATTTTTTACTCCCGAGAATGTGTTAGATAATTAAAGTTGAGACCAGAAATGAAAAGCATAGGGTTAGGAGGCCCCGATTAATTATATACAAACTTCCTGTCTAGGCAGGAAGTCACGTAAATTTATTTCAAATATTTCACCCTGAATGGAATTACGTAGATAACCGGCAAGACTCCGTTGTTATCAGAAAAAGTAGGACGCACAGGGCCAAGACACTACAAATTTGAGATAGAGAATATATATTGAATAAATTAAGAATATGATTAAAAATTGTAGCCTGGCATTGTAAAGATGTCACAATAAATATTTGCTCGTTTCCAATTTATTTTTCTCCTTCGATTTCAATATCAATGCCAGTTTATGAGTTACATCTTTATGAGCAAATTTAGTAATAATTATAATAAGCTTTATAATTAAATAATTATTTAATATTTAGCTGATCGAGCAAAGGAAATTAAAACTTGTGCTACGGTTAATGAGGATCCTACTGAAAAACTTATCAGAGAACTTCGCATTGAAAATGAAAAATTAAAAAAGATGCTTGAACAGGGACAACCAAGTATTCCCATTGGTCTTACTGCAGGAATGTCGGATGCAGGTAAAAACCGTAGTAAATTCTCATTTATGATATATCTGTTTAGCACGGTTTACGGGCATTTTTCTAGTTAATTTAACGTTATCTCTTCTTTTTTTATTATTAAAAAATGGCATCGTATTAAAATAAAAATATACTTGTCTACGATCATTGATATTTCTTTAAAATATTATTATAAAAATATTCTATGGATTATGTTTAGCGAAAAAAGTATGAAGATAAAGTTTTTTGACATTCCAAAAATTGACGTTGGTATCAATCTACTATATGCATGTATTTTTTTAAATGTTACTCAACTTTTCTCTATTACAGATTTTATTTAAAATAAAAATTTAAGTTTTATATACTTTATAGATACTGATTAATGATTAAACTCTAAAGAAAACACAAAGTAGGTTATCTACCAAACGGCTACCACAAAATTTTTAGAAACGCTGTATATTGAAATTCAGACTCCATTCCTCTTACATATTAATCGATTCTATACTGGGCCAGCCAGTCATATTCCATTTTTCCTCGAGTCAACAAATCAAAAAATGACATTTTTTATGATTTTAAAAATTTTATTTAATTAATCATTCTATTGCTTAAAAATCTGAATCTTTTTTTTTCATCTCACGAATTGCAAACATTACTCATATTTTTCTCATTTCTTGGAATTATGAGAAATCTGAAATTGAAAAAAGAATTATTTCAATGAAGAGTAGGCCTACGTATTTAATAGACAATAACAAATAGTATATTTTAAGTGAAATTTCGATAAATAGGCTATATTTTTATTTTTATTATTACACATGTACTGCACATTTCCATCAAGCAAATAAAACTACAATCTATAATTTTGTCACTCTTTCTTATTTTAGAAATAAGAAAACAACGCCAGAAATGGGAAGAAGAAATGAAGGCAGCCATGAAAGAGAACGAAAGAGAATTACTGCAGATTAGACAATCGTATGAAGAGAAACTGAAACAAGCCCAATTAGAACAAAAAGCTGTTAGTAACAATTATTTAGCAACTGTGATTATTAGTTATTTTATGATATTGATTTATCTGAACAAAATTATTTTCAGGATGCCAAAATTTCTGAAGCAGATAAACTAAAACAAAAAGAATTTCCACATTTCTCCAATTTGAATTTTGATTTGTTACTTTCCGGAAAACTCGTTCACATATTAAAAAGAGGAGAAAATCTCATAGGAAAAGCAGACAATGCTTCGATTATCTTATTTGGACCATGGTAAGGTTTTCATGTGAATATTTTCATAAATTCTGGAATGTAAGAAATTCCGAAGGATTTAATATCTAACGTAGGCTATTTAATGGTAAATTTAATTATGAGTTTTAAACATTTAGTATTTTAGAAAAACATGCTTTAGTTACATATCATTCTCATGGAGGAGTTACAATGGAAAAATGTAATAGCGATGCCCGTATATTATTGAACGGGGAACCCGTCTCTGCACGAGTTCTTCTTTCACATAACGACAGGTACAGTTTCGTTTCTGATTTTTGTTCTTTCAATTTGCATCAATACTAAATTCTTTATAACATGCAAAGGGTGATGTTTGGGACTACACAGCTGTATGTTTTTAAGAATCCTCAACAAATGCGCGAACAGAAACAGACTTATCCAGAAATTACTTACGAGATGGCCAGAGAAGAAATTGCTGCTAAGGCAGGTCTCACTATGGATACAGAAGATCATTCTAGGGGTATGAAATAGGTTATTTATTAAAACTAATGCTTTTCTAGTATTTAATAAATATTTATTTGACTTAATATTTAAAATAGTGATGGCAATTTTTTAGAATGCGACTGCATGCATTTTTGCTATGGTATTGCAGGATTTAAACATACTCCATAACTACTAATGCACTATGTACTAAAATAATGTACGCTAATGATATGCAAACTAATAATGTATAGTTTAGCCTCATCCTTTGAATCTAAAGAATTAAACTTGATTATATCTAAAGGTCAAATTTAGTTTGAATATTCTTCGTCACTAAAATGAACTTAAATAGAGTTGTATAATGGAACGGGGCAGAAAACAAGAAAATAAAATGACGTTGCCAAAGCGCCAGAAGATCGCATATTAGATATCAGCATATTAGAAAGATGCCAGAAGATCGCATAGGATCTCACAGACTGCAAGTCAATCACGAGTGACTTAAAATACTAAACTAAATATGAATACTTTTTAGAGAATCTTCAGACGACTTTCTTAAAAAATATGAAATGAATCCTTTGAAAACGATTTTATTCATTTTTCTAAAATTAAATCGTCAATTATTATACTAGCATATAGCTTACTAAAAGTTGGACAGGGTTTCCAAAAATTAAAAATGTTAACATTTTTTTTAATAATATTCTATTCCGTTACAGCTATCATGTGATTAACGGAAGCTAGAGCCGCTCGCTTGTGTTTTCTAAATGTAGAAAAACAAAAATGTTAATCGTTCTCTTTATTGATTCTTCACCATAAAAATTAAATAATATAGAATACTAAATACATATTTGTGTAAATAAAGAATACAATCTCTTTCAGATGTCCAGATTTAATTTTCTTTTGTTTGACACTTAAGTAACTTAATTTCTGCAAAGTATTCTGTTACTTACTTGCTGTTGTTTTTTATATTCTGTACACAGTAATATATACGTATATGTTAGACATTAGCCGTTTATCACTTTCAAATGTTGATATTATTTATTTCTGATGATTATTGAAAGTTCTCATTCATTCATTTAGAAATTGAAGAAATAGGATTTATTGCTTATGCTGTTTTGTTCTTACAATTCTATTATAAAAGCATTTATTATTTAACCTCAGAACAATTAACCGCTTGAGTCGAGGAAGCAGTGTACAAAAAGCAATTTTCAATTACAGTATTCTATTTTTTAAAATACTTTTCTTAACTCAAACTACTTGGGAATTTGAATATAATTTCTTTTCAAAATAATAAATTTTCCAATAACAATTCCAATTGCAATTATATATTCAGTGATCAGTAGATTTACTGATCTTAAAATTGAATAAAGCTTCTTTTTAATTTGAATATACAAATCAGAATGTTATCGTCAAATTTGTAATTAAAACTTATTAAAAATTCTACCCTGTAAGTGGTGACGATTCTTTTATTCTAATATTATGAAAATTTATTGTTATATAAAAAATTATAATATATTATGTAAAATTAATAATCAAATCCTGTTTTTATATTCCACGTAAAATTATTTAAACTATACGGTGTGTCCCACTTCAGTTCCAAATTACTGATATAAATTTTACAGGCACTTTTGACGAAACATTATTGATGTAAATTTTATAGGGGATATTTGAAAAGAAAAGTGTATGAGACTAATCTCAGAACTACAGGCCTACGCAAACTAAAGGAAAGAGAATGGTTTCCTTTAGTTTGCGAAGTCTTAATGTGATTACCGTGCGTAAAGGTACAAAGATGCTGAAATTGGTGTCCTTGAGCATCACTTTCAGCATCTTGTGTAAGTTTTTTATAGGTTTAAATGTTAAAATAAAGTTTCTAACAAGTATCCTTTGTCTAAATTCACTTGTATCGTTTCCAGTGAGTGGAGTATTTTGTATTTTGTTGTTATAAATGTACTTTTTAACTTTCTATTCTGTTCTGAAAACCTCAATCTATTTTGTCATAAGATATAAAGTTGTTTGGTAGTGTTTTATTAAAAAATTTAATTTTAAATACATTAATTGTATCTGGAGTAGACATTGTTATTTTTCTCGTTCTGATAATATTGAGTTGGATATAATTGGCATGTTCATAGTTTCAAAAATATCAAAAACTATCTATAATGTTTATATTTAATCTTCATATTATGTAATGTATATTTATGATAAATTTCTTATTTTCATAAGTGTCTATATACTATTATCTATGATATCTTAGCATTATTTATAGATAGGTCTATTAGATATTTTTTGTATCCATTTATTCATTTACTGAAAAACTGGCTATTTGATGTATAGATTTTAGAAAAACGTTTAGTTAAAATGAGTAACTGATTACAATTGTTAGCTAAAGTTTCATGAATTACTACAGTTTTATATTTTACTGTAATTGTAATATGTGTATTATATGTATTTTTTATTTTATTTTTCTCTTACTAAAATCCTATCAATAGTTTGTATAAATATAAACAGAATAAAGTAAGGATGAGAAATTTAAATGATAATATTCAAATACTTTATAGAGGCTGCGTTATTAAATAAAGATATTTTGGAAGTTCTTCCTGGAGTCGAAGAAGCTAATGCCATTAGTGAAGAATTAGATAAGCACGTTAAATTTGAAATTCTCTTAGTTGCCCCTCAGATGTTGGGTAAATTATCCGGACATACGGAGGTATAACAAGACTTTCGGTGTCCAGTAATGTGATTCTCGTAACAATTTTACTTAATTCTGTTTTCAAAAATATTTAGGTTTATGTGAAGATGAGAAAATTGGTTACGGGACAGGAATATGACTGGCCAAAGGAGAAATTTATAAATAGGTTATTTTTAATGAAAGAAATGTTCCAAAACTACGAAGCAGGAGAAGAGTGGGATTTGCCCGATGTGAGTTAGAATTTAACAAATTAAGTCTAATTTATATTATTTTGTAATAGTAACTTATATCTTGCTTTAAAGAAGAAAACGTGTTTATTATTTTTCTCAGTAATCATTTAATATTTATAATGATTATTAATATTTTATATTATATTCATAAATAGTATCCGAAATTTAAAAATTTACAAAATAATACATACAAGATTAATACATAAATTTATATGATATATTTAATTTTAGGGGAATTGTCTCTAGTTTAATAACGTTTTATGGATAAATATGTACTGTATATTACGAAAGGCATTGAGATAATCATTTTCTTTTCTTTTTAATTTTAGACTTATTTTAAATTGTATGAAATTTTCAGGAGCAAGATCCATTTACAGAAGATAGTGACGTTGAAGCCATGATTGGATGCGTTCAAGTGTTTCTTCAGCCATTAGCTTACAGGGTAATTAAAAATAAAATATAGGTCTGTACAGGACTATTGAAAATAAGTTGTATTTTTAAATAATTCATAACGATGATTGAATGATCATTTTATTTTAATGCAATTTTTAAGCCTGATCAATTATTTTTGTTTATTGTTTTATTTAGGTAGAAATAAAAGAGCAACTGGAAATAATTGAATATAGAGGAGCAGAAGTTGGAATCATGAATGTAAATACATTATATGTTTCATATTAATTTAATATTATTTTTTAAAATGTGGAAAATATTTACAGTAAAATCCCATTATTTCGAAACTCAAGGAACCAAAAAACATGATTTCGAATTATTCGAACTTTTTTCGAATCGAAGTTTTTTTGTAATCCTCGAATAAAATTATGACATTATCTTACATAATTTCACTCGTTTATTTACAAATGCGTTAATATTACGATTTATTACTTAGTAATTTAAGCTATTCCGAAAAACCGTAAGTCGGAATATTTTTGTGTGTCACCGGACCAGAATGACTTTGAATTTCATTGTACGCGTATTTCGAATTATCCAAACTAAAATATGTACAAAATCCTATTCTCTTGGTCGGGGACTAGACTTGACTTCGAATTTTCCGATATCGAAATAACAAGGTTTTACTGTATTTAGATGTGCTATAAAACGTGTTTAGTAAGTTTTTGCTTTATTTCTTAAATTATATTAATTTTTTTATTTTATCGAGTGTATTATTGCTCGTTATATTTTAACTAGAAATTTTCCCATCAAGCATGACGGACTACTTTCTGTAAGAAAGTAGAAATTGAAGAATTGAGAAGTGTAGGGATTTCAAGATCAAGAAGAGTAGCTAATATTTCTACAAATTAAATAGGCTATACTATTCGTCGAAACATAATTGGTCTGCGATAATACAATTTAAATCACAGGCTCGATAGATCGTTACTTCCGATTGGATAATAGAACGTTATGTGGTCACTACGAAACGTTTCCAAACAAATTTATTATAAAAGCGACACGATGCGGCTATTTTTTTTTAATTTAACGCTTAAATTTTAAATTTAATAAAGTAAATTTAAAGTTTCACCATTTGCCAAAATATTTTAAATTGAGACTTAAGGCAAATGACGTCATTGACGTCGCTGAGCTGAAACCATAAAATTTAAAAATAATCTAAGAACAATACTATTGATATTAATGATAACAACATAATAATCAAAATAGAAATAATCATAAATAATAAATAATACACTGTAATCTGGATTCGAAATCCGTTTCATTCTTTTGTCTCTCGAAAGACTTTTCTTTCTTTCTTTTTTTTTTTAACTTCTCCCGCTCTTTGGAAAGATCCTTTACCATGAAATATTGCAACTGTAAAAGAATATCCGTTTTGGGTGAACAAAACGGATATTTTTTTACAATGGGCAATGTGCGGAATTGATGACATTATATTTTTGCAACATTGACATTTACTAAATTATTAATTTAATATAAAGATGTTGACTCCATCGTTCGTTGTGAAGATATGATGAAGTATTATACATTTAGATACGCATCGTGGAATAAGAAACACTACCAGGGCTACCTACAATGACAGAACTACAATATTCTTAAATATCGGGCTTGCTGCTATGTTTAAAATAAATTTCATGAAATTTGTCAGATTCAAAAATTTACCTATTGAATTTGTTCGAAAATTTATCAGACATACTGTAAATCCCATTGAGAATCTTTGAGCCATTAAAAAAACCTTCCAAAACTGTGAAGTACACAACCAAAGTAAAACATTTCCTCGATTACAATATGTGGCATCATGACAACGATATTCAATAAAAATATAAAATCTTGTTTGAGTCAATGACTAATCGAATAAACATATTGATTAAAGCTAAAACACATTAAACAGTGAATAATTTTATTAAGTGTTGTACACGTTTGAGATAAATAAATTATTTTCATGGTATAAAGTGCTTTGTTCACATTAATTTGCACAATAATGTCCCTTATATCTTAAATTACGTTTAAAAGTTACATTTTTATTTAAAATTTAAAGTTTACATTATTATTCAAAATGATTTATTTTGAGCAACAGTTTGACAACAATTTGATTAATTTAAGAGATGCTTCGTTTTAATATTTACAGATCGAAATTGTGCCTTGTTCGTCTACAGGAAAAGAATATACAGAAAGTGATGATATGTTTATTGACGATCCAAAGGATTTGATAGGAAAAGAATTCTATTTTGTAGTGAAAATCTTAAGTTGCAGTGGATTGCCTGCTAGATTTTTTGTTAGTTAACTTAAATTATTAATTATTTGAATAAATCTGATTTATATTTATACAGTGCGATCGTAAAGTCGCTCCACAGTAGGCGAGGAAATGGGAAGAGCCTCAGGCAACGAAGTAATGAAGTCACAAACTACATGAGCGACGCCCACTGCTGAGCGACTTTACGATCGCACTGTATATTTATATGCTTAATACTTTTTAAAAATCGTATTCAAATATTAAATTATAGGATATCAACTGTAGATATAGATTATATTTAGATGAAGACGATACAGTAACTGCAACAATTTCTGGTACTACTAATCCAGAATTTAATCACAGAAAAATGTATTCATTTAAATCTGTTTCTAGACAAGTACGTAAATGTGAAATTATATTTTTTCTAGAAAGCAAGTATTTAAAATTTTGTATATTCATTACGTAATGATATTTTTATAGTTTTCGGAATATTTAGTAGAAGGTTTCATCATGGTACAAGTATGGGGAACACAAGCTGTAAGAAAGTCTGCAGTTGCTAGAGCTAAAGGAAAAAATACAAAAGAGATGTTTCAGGCAGACATAATGCAACAAACAAATACGTTGATGAATGGATTTAGGATAAATGGAAGAGTGAGTAGACTTAATCATTTATTTAGAAATATATAGCCTATTTTCATTTTATATTCATGAATAATTTCACGTAAGGGTTTTGTCATGACAATTCATTTTTAATAATAGCGTTTTGAATATTAAAATTTTATAGCAAGTTTTATGAAAAAAAAATTATGAATTTTAATTTTTTTACTTTTATCAAGTACAGTTCATAAAAAATAGAAAAAAATATAGTTTATTACGATATTGTGTTACACAACGTATTAAAAAAAGCATTCATTATATATTTACTAAGGGGCTGCAATTTAAAAAAATTGTAGACTTATAAATTCCAACTGTCATCTGTTCGCCTGCTGTCTGTCTTTCTTTAATCTCGAGAATGGTGTCAGACAAATGAAATTCAAGATAGATATAGAAACCTTCGGGGCAGGAGGCTCCGATTAACTATATATAAATTTCCTGTCTAAGCCGAAAGTCACGTGAATTCAATTCAAAAATTTCCCTCGAAAGAAGTTGGATAGATGACCGGCACGACTCTATTGTAACAGAAAAAGTATAATGTACTGTACAGGGACAAGACACTAAAGAGTGAGCTGTGTTAAAGCAGTGTCCTAAATGGAAAATGTGTATTATTAGATTATATTTTGTTTCACTAACTTGTTCAGACATTAATAGATCAAAATAACATACAGCAACATTTTTCTCCTCAGTACTTTCAGTGATGGTATTTTTTTTTATTGTTGTTAATGCCTACTTTTTGCCTACTAAATAAAGCAAGCATACACAATATAGTTTGGCTTATTTAAACATTATTAATTTAAGCAGCTAATGATGAAACATGTTAATGCAGTTCTAATTTTATTTATAAATTCGTATATTGTCATACAGAGTGTCCATAAAGTCCGTGTGCAATTTAAAAACTTTATAACTTTATTAGTATTTGTGATAGAGAAATTATGTAGAATGTATTGGAAATAAAAAAATAAATCTATATTTTTTAATTGTTTTATTGTATTTTATTAAGTTTTCACATGTCCACCCTCNAATGATTATTTTATTTTTTTTTTAATTTTTAGTGAGAGAGTTTCTAGCACGGGTGCTAAAGGAGATCGTTTAAAAGAAGGAGCAGCCATTAACCAATCTTTATCATGTTTAGGAAATTGTATTCATGCCTTAGCTGAAAAAGCAAAAGGCACAAAGTCTGTTAGAGGTAAAATACATTCAAAAATTAGAATTATGGTAATACCAAATAAAAGTAAATAAGTAAATAAATAAATAAATACAAATATTCCAATCATTTCAGTGCCATATAGGGAATCGATGTTAACACGACTTTTAATGAATGCACTTGGAGGAAACAGTAAAACAATTATGGTATTTATATTTTATATTAATAATGATGATAATTTTTATATTATATAAATAAGGATATAAATATTCTTTATTATTTAGATAGCTGCTATTAGTCCAGCAGATATAAATTATGATGAGACTCTTTCAACACTTAGATATGGTATGCATCAATAAATTTTGTTTTTTAAAAAATATATGATAAACTACATATTGTTTTAAATAAATGATAATGATATGATAATCAATATATGATAAATCATATATTTTTCGGTCTAATACTGTGGTTCTTAACCTGTGGTCCATGGACCACTGGTGGTCCCTGAAAGCACCTGAAGTGGTCCGCGAAGTTATCCCAAAATTATTAAATAAATGACGACGAGTTGATGACAATGCGCGGTATGTCAAGGTTAGAGCCGATAGCGGACTGGGCTGGGATATGGTGTGTGGTCAGGAAGTATGAAATTGGAAGGCACTAGCAATAAATTTTCATTTGAAGATAAAATCAGTGCGTTTATCGCTAAAATCGACCTATCGGAAGAGAGAATTTTTCTGCGTTTGATATATTGAACCCAATTATTGACTGACAGTGTGCCGAGATTAAAGGACAAATACAAAAGAACATTACATTCCATTTGCAAAGCTTGAAAAATGAATTTAATCATTATTTCCTGACTGCAAGGACAAAGGTATTCGGAAACTGATTTGCAATCCTTTCATAGTCAACATTTCTGAGGTGCCGGATGAAATACAAGAAGAGTTAATTGAAATGCAACATGATAATAACTGCAAGGATACACTCGAGACAGGAATTAACCTTAAAGATTTTTGGAGCCAAAAAGCTATTGCTTTCCCTAAAATTCGAGAAATTGCTTTACAGTACCTAACTTTATTNTTATTATTTTTATTACAATAATAATTATTATTACAGAATGTAGATCCAAATAAACACAGCATGTTGGTTGAACTCTTATTAATGAAGAAACAACAAGCAAGGCATCAATTTAGGATGGTAAGATAAACTATTATGAATACATAATGATCATTTTCAATTTATTTGCATTATTTTAGTTAACATATAATTACTTTTAGTATCAATTGTATTGTTTTTCTATAACTAATAATTTAATTTTACTGTTCACGATGGTTAAAAATGCATTAAAATTTTTTATTTGTGTCTTCTATTAAAATACTAGAGAGAATAATCGTTTGCAGCTGATGTATAAAATAGAAATGGAAATTATAATCTAGAAGAAAATAAAAATTTTTCTGGATAAAGCTAATTTCGTAATATATTACAAAAACTTTATCATTTTATAAAGAATATTAAACTGCTACGTAAAATAATGTATAGGAAAATAGTAACACTTAATTTCGTGCGGATAACCCGCAGTGGTGTATACTCCAGAGAAAATTTCTAGAACGGAAATAAAACACCTTTGCATAATCCGCTCCGTTGTACAGCAATATCCCGCACCTCCAAAACAGCAGTTGAAAGCATGACACTTACTCGTACAAGTTTAGTAGTTTACTATCTCAAACATTTACACGATGTTTCATTTAGATTTAATTATAAAACAAGTGAAATGAGAAACCGAAACAGCAAGAAGAAAACTTCTAAACTTGGATGAACGATACAAATACTTATCAAACGACAAATTATTTTTAGTAGGCTATATCGTTTCATTTGTTTTATTTATCAAATAATAATATAATAAATTTTACAATGAACTCAAAAACAGCTAAATATAAAATATTTTTAATCCAATGACACGAATGAAAAAGTCATGAAGGATCAACATAACGGGGAGTTTTTTTTGGGTACGAGGGCCACCCGACCAAACTGCGTCGTGATCCTGTATTACTATACAGGTTCATGCGCACTTTGGCCCGAGTGGCACAGTATCAGGGAAACTATTAGCAGAAGCAAAGTTGAGCAGAAGAGATAATAAATCAACAATATCGATCGAGAACCGGTGATGCGGCAGCAGCACGAGTCTATGTAACTACAGTACACAGTTATAATTATTTAATTCATTATTATTAAAAAATGAGCTCTAGAAACGGAGACAAACGAGAAAACAAAACGGATATTGATATTGATGGTTTGAGCTATCATCTGATACAGTAGAAGATACCATGCCATACATATTCTGAACCGCTTTATACAGCAGTTCAGAACGTACTCGTATGTAAAGAAGCAACAGAAATAAAGTTTTATAACAGCTTTATTATAATCGACTCGCCATTACTGTATTAGCAGAAGTTTCAAAATTTTGTAATTGAGTGCATTGTAATATTTCGCAACAATCTGTCTTTGCTATTTATAAGTAATCTACATTGTCTTTGTTTTATTGTGCGTTTTATGCTTATTCAGGGGAGTTGCAAAACTGCTTCCGTTACTCTCTCACCTGGTATTTAAATTTAAAAATAAAATAAAAGTACACAGTGCGGTCTATGCTTTGAGACAAGATTTGACAAAATAATTCACTAAAATAATAATTAAAATAAGCTCCATTACAGTTGATACACTGTTGAGCTGTCTTTTCCAATTGTTACATCACCATTGAAAACTCCTCTTTTGTAATGGTCTCCGGTTAGTTACATCAGTTTCAATTTCAAAATGTCGAATCTTTGGCCTTACAACTGCAATTTTTATTTTGAAAATATAAAAAACAGTCTTCGGGTGACAAGTCAAATGACTTGAGTGGGTAACTAATGCTACGATTTGTTTTTGAGCCAAAGATGCAGTAGGGGAAATACGTACAAAATGACATAGGCAACATAATTCGAATTTGGCGGTCTCAAGCTCGCAACTAACCATGACACCACGTTATCCGAGTGGCTCTTACTAACCTGTCAAAATGTGAACGCACTCCTCTCATTCGCCCGGGTATGACGTCATGGCCGACAACAAGAAATGATACGTTATGAGTTTTTTCCTTGCAACAAGTTTTTTGTATAGATGGTAATTTTTTCACTATTTTATCTATTCGTGTAACATTTATTTCAACCCTCAAGAATTTGTTGTTGCACTTAAATAACTTTTTCCATTAAAAATAACATCTTTGTATTTATTTTATAACTTTGTTTTTTTATAACGTTATATGGACAAAACGACATACATAGACAACGGACATAATGACATACCTGTCATTTAGTCCATAAGAGCTTTTTGTCAAGGAACTTACCTTAATCTCTTAACGTTTTATTATTTATCAAAAATGTCTTCCAAACAAAGTCTTTCATTATTGTTTAAAAGAAATTTTAGTATAAAACTTTATTTCCTTTCTTACATATTATTTACAAACTTATTATCTTTCACATAACAAAAAACTTGCAACGAATCAGGTGATTCGACAAACCTCTTTAGTTTTAACTTCTACTCCTAATATGAAGGCAATTAAATCAGAAAAATGTGTCCAAAGCTCCGCCAGAGAAAAGGAAACGAAATATTACTAAAAAGTTATTTGAAGAAGAAAATTTTCCTGATAACTCTCATGATGATGAAGAAGACTGTCCACGCATATATTGCGATAATCTTTTTTCCCGATCTAAGCCTGGAGGAGACTGGTTACGGTGCTTAAATTGTTTCTGTTGGGCTCATGCTTCTTGCGTTTCTAAAAGAACCAAGCGTTTCATTTGTGAACTTTGTCAGTAATGTTATAGTTTTTACGTGTATGTCATTTTGTTCTTACGTAATGTGTCATTTTGTCCATAGTATATGGACAAAATGAATTTTGGATAATCTCAATTAAACTAACAATATTTTTTTTTCTGTTATTTTAATATTGTAAATGTTTAGTATATTTCATAGCTAAAGAACCAAAGATAATTGGTGTAGAATATGACAGTGATTTGATTTACCAATAAAGAGTTATAAACCTTTAATAAAACCGTATGTCATTTTGTCCGTATTTCCCCTACACTTTGACAACGGTTACGAAAACATACGAGTAGTTCAGATGGAAATGACTAGATAGTGCCCTAGTATGGCCATAAAAAGAAATCAGTCCCAGAATTTATGGACCGTATATTTGGGAGGTCCTTAATCTACGTGGTTTTTAGAATCACTTGTCTGGCCACAATCACCGGAACGGAGAAGGGATCAAAATTTGCAAAATATTGGACTACATGGTTTATAAACATTTCCTAAGAATGTCAAACGAACATCGTTAAAATAATATGGCGGTTGATAACAGCAAATTGTTTTTATGCTTGTTTCATCCACTTATTTATCAAAAAGAACATTTCAAAATTATAATTGTAAGAATATACTAAGTATATTCTTCGTAGATGTCGCGTTTAAATTTCTCACATCTCCAGAAATTCGTTGCTTGGAATCGTGGCGAATATTTTTCTGCTGACAGAGAAGTAAGCACGTTTAAAATGCAATCGTGTAATATAGAAAATTTGTCAGAAAGAACGTTACTACAGACAATTTTCGCTCTCATGCAACCACAGACACAGAGAGCGAACCAATTAATGACATTCGTTCGCTCTGTGTCTGTGGCTTAAGACATTCTGTACTTAAATTTTTCGAATATATTTTGACATTTATTAATGCTATTATTATTTGATAAATAAAACAAATGAATCGATGTGACGATAAAAAATTTTGTCCTTTCGTTGGTTCAAAATTTGATTGGTCTAGTAGTACGGGATGGTGCCAAGACTACTCCTCGCATGTGCTTATGTTTTCATTCGAGTTAGCTTGTTAAATTTAAATATTTTTAGTAATAAATTTCTTTTAAGATTAAAAGTTGATAAAGTAAGTTAAACTTAGAATATGAAAGGTTAAATTTAATTTAACTAATATAATACAATTATAAAACCAACTTAAATTATATAAAAGTTTAGTCTAAACCAGGGATCCCAAGAATGATCGATAAGGCATTTTTTGCGGATAGAAAATTAGTCGGGGTTGATTGAAAACGGATCATTAACAAGCCAACACGAATGAAACGTAAGCACTTGACTCGAGGAGTGGTCTTGGCTCCACCCCGTATAAAATAAACCAATCACATCACTCAGTCATTACGATGTCTAGGTGCACGTTTGGTCAGACTATCCAATAGAATGCTGACGTTCTGTTTCGTTAGTCGAATTATTGATTATTGTTTAGAGAACCTTACACGAAGATTTGTTTTACTGTTGTGTTCTAACGAAGTTGTTAAATAATAATAATAAATTATACACGAATGTCGCTCTAATTAATTAATATAAAACACGTTTTCACAGTATACAGTTTTAAAAAGTGAAGCAAATAAACGAAAAGACTTCAGTTTTAGTTTTGACTTCGTTAGAAAAACTGCTGAAAGCAAGGCTAGTGTGTTTAAACTTTGCATATTCAAGCTAGGGTTACAGTTTTAAATGTATATAGCCTAATTATTTTGTCATCACTTTATAATCAGTTGAAAATAATCAGTTCATTAGGATGACACTATCGAGTCACGTGTTTTAACCATAAGTTTTATGAAATGTTTCCATTATATACATAGGGAATAATTAACCATACATTTATCAGCTTTCTAGATACAAATTCAAATAGAAGTGCTTAATGATATCAATTAAATCATGGGTTGAACATAGGGAAAATGACGGAAATCTGAAGAACACATACAGATGTCTGATAGTTTCCAGAAAAATCCTGATGCCATATGTCTGAAAAGGATTTTTCACGTTTTCTACAGCCGTTCTTGAAAATTTTAGACAAAGAAAAAGCTGTTTGACGATTTCGTAAATGCAATTTAAAATCGACATAGGCTTTAACCGGCACCCTTTAAAATTGTTTTTTAAAACACGGATAAGCCGTTATCTGCACGAAATTAAGGTAATATAGTACAAATATGACTATAAAAATCGAAAGTTTACTTCATCAATTTTACAAAAAATTTAAATGAAACGTAACATATTTATTTTTTCAGTTAGGCCTATATATTTAAATAATATGCATATTTAAAAATTAACTTTTTAATGAATTGTAGTGAAATAATTTGATAAATTATAGGAATATATGAAGAAATTGATTGATGTTGCTGAAAAATATAAAAAGCGTAAAGTTCCTATAAATTTATTGAAAGAATTGATAGCTACAAACTCTGCAGAAGTTGCAGACCAAATCATATCTAAAGTCCCTGAAGGTAATTGGTATGTATTTTTCATTAATATGATTGCTGGAGCAGTTTCTGACATGACTACCTTTTATTACATAAAAAAGGAAACAAATTTGCCTTCTGACAATATGAAAATATGAAGTTTTCGGATTATATTTTATATAATTTTAATTTTCATAATTAAAAATAAAGCATATACANTTTTATTGTATTTTATTAAGTTTTCACATGTCCACCATCATTAGTAATACAAAGGGTAATACGATTTTGTAGTTTTCTAAAAACATTTGCCAATTGATTTAAAGCAGGGGTCGCCAAAGTGGTCGATATAACATTATTGGGGGGTCGATTATCAAGCTTAAGCTAAGGATAAGGGGAGCTATGAATCAAGCTTATCCGTCTCACTGATTGTCAGTTACAAAAATTATTATTAACAAATATGCAATAAATGAAAAAAAAATGCAAAATTAAAAGAAATGTATTAAAATAGTAAGTGCTTTGTTTTGCTTGTAACACAAACTTTTTGCTGGGGGGTCGATGTGAGGTTTCGAAATCTTGTAGGGCAGTGATTCTCAACCACTGTGCCGCGGCATTTTAGTGTGCTGCGAGACTTTTGAAGTATGCCGTCACTGCGAATGTACCATATATAAGCGACGTGAGACAAGTAGTTTAATCGGTTCTATCTTCCTAGGGTGCGTTTGGAAATTGTAACCAGTGTTACCAGAAACTGCCGGTAGTTACTAAGACGTTTAGAAAATGTGATCTAAATAACCAACTGCGTTTAAAAATCACTGTTATGACGTCACCGGTTGTCCTACGATGTGTGCCGCCAAATTTTTAAATTATTAAAATTGTACCGTGACGAAAAAAGGTTGAGAATCACTGTTGTAGGTGGTCAACGATCAAAAAAGTTTGGCAACCCTTGATTTACAGTAAAGCCTGAAATCACATTAGCTTTTAAGTCTTCTAATGATCGAGGTTTGGTTGCATGCTCTATTGTTTCACATGTCCCTATAAAAAAAGAAAAAAAATCTAATGGAGTCAAGTCTGGCGAACGTGCAGGCTAAGAAAATGGTCCACCTCTTCCAATCTCTAAAACATTTGTCACTAAATAATTTTACTTAAAAGTAGGTACATTAAGCTTTTTAATACTTTTTAGACTTTTTCTATCATAAATACTAATAAAATTATAAATTTTTAAAATTTATAACTTTATTAGTATTTATGCACACGGACTTTATGTTCTATATTCACTTTATGCACCCTGTATAATGAGTAAGTTTGTTTTCAAACTTGATAGCTCTTTCATAAATATATCTATAATTTATCAAAGTCTTGATATTTTCATATCTTTAGTGAGGTTAGCGACTCAAAATTCAACAAATATTATGAGTAAGCAGTAACTACCTTATTAATTAAAACCCTAATAAAAATATCATTTAGAGCAGTGGTTCCCAACCGGTGTTCCGTAAGCATCGCCCTAGTGTTCCGCAGATTTAGTCGTAAATCGGAAAGTGTACAATCGTATTCGACTTGCAAGTAAACTTCACAATACATCTTTCGCTCTTCAAATTGACGAATCAACAGATACTAGTGGAAAAGCCATTTTACTTTGACTATTCTATTTTCTTTAACAAATCGAATGTATCCATGAATTTTTGTGTTGCAGAGAGTTACTAGAAAGAATGAGTGAAGAAGCCATTTATAATGCTATCAATTCTTATTTTGAACGTTTGAATTTGAATTTGGAACAATGCGTGGAAATCTACACTGATGGAGCTCCATCAATGACAGGCTCAGTCAAGGGATTTGTGACATTTGCAAAGGGAATTGCTTATTGCAAAAACATTACCTGAAGAATTAAAAGATGTTCTTACTAGCGTTGTTAATATGGAAAATTATATAAAGGCGAGACCGTTGAAATCCCGAATTTTTAAACAACTGTGTGCAATGATGGAAGCAAAATATGAAGGGTTAATTTTTCATACAGAAATCAGGTGGCTTTCTCAAGGAAAAAATGTTTTTTCGTGTACTGGAACTGAAAAAAGAATTGATAGTTTTCTTCGAACAAGAAAATATGTGCTTTTCAGAAAATCTTAAAAATGATATGTGGTGTGCCAAACTTGGATATTTAACGGACATATTTAATTATTTGAACATTGTGAATACTACCATGCAAGGTGTACAGGAAAACATCTTAACATCAACGGACAAACTATCAGCTTTCCACAAGAAGATCATTCT